TGACGATTTGCTACGCAGTAGGTAAAAACCAAATGGCACCAGCCAATCAGCCAAATGGACAAAATTCCTACCAGGCCCCTGCCCCAACAGCAGATGACCCCATGACAGGCATAGCAAGGTCAACACACCATAACAAAATAAGGGAGGGTGGGCGGGTGATCCGTTGCACGCAGCAAAAGTCAAAGCTCTCATGCTGCGTGCAATGCTTAAAAAACCTCTGTTCCCTCCCCCTAAATGGCAACATCAATTCTACCCCAGCAACACCATCTACCAATCCATGCTAGAGGCCATCTATCCTAACCTGCCCGGCAACAGAGGGCTGGCTTGTGCTCTCTTTTAATGAGAACATGCTTTCTGAAAGAAGTGATAGAGTTCCGAGTTCAATAAAATGTGTAGTATTAAATGTGTTCAAAAACCGCATTAATCAGGATGATATATAGAGAGAGTTTAATTTATTTATTTAAAATGGAGGTTGATGGGGAAACAGAACAAAACAGACTCATGTGTGTGAAACTGACAAGGACTGGAAACAGACTAATCCATCCATTTCTAATTAAGAACTATATTCATATAAGTGTTCTATAATTTTTGTAATCATTTGTTTGTTTGCTGGCTTATAAAGTACGGGAGGAGGTTGCATCCTGTCTGATGACTTCTGATGTTGTGTCACACCATGCCCACTGGTGTGAATGAAATTTAGTATAACATGGTATATTGACCCAAAAGTCACAGTTCTATAAAGTAGCATTTAATGCAGCATAAAAGGGAGCACTGTTGTTGTTGATGTGCCTTTTGCCCTGACAGGACTCAAGGCAGCTTACAGATAAAATTAAGAACTGCTAAAAACGGGGGGGAAATGGTTGAAAAACAATCATTGATAGAATTAAAATGTTGTACATATGTAAATTCTATTAGAACCATGGTAATAATTGTAATAAAAACACCATAGCTCCACTGCTTTCATTAAAAGCAGTTGGTTCCCAAAAGCCTGTGGGAACAAGAAAGTTTTCAGCTGCCTGTGGAAAGACAACAAAGAGGAAGCCAGTCTCAGTTCTATAGAGTGGGAGCTCCAACGTTTGAGAGCAGCCGCAAAGAAGGTCCTCCAAGCAGCATTAGAAACTGGGGCAGGAGGACCAGCATTATAACCAGGAAAACTAATGAGATAACCCCCACCTTGAGTCTCTTTTCTTTAAGAGAGTTCTTCTTGCATAGTCTCATTGTGTATTGCCACTATTGCAGAAATCATATATTACCAAGCAAGCAAACCGCTCAGAAAGGAGGCTCCATTGTAATCATAACCATCCATTTTCAAAGAAAATGTTTACTTCAGACATATATGTGGTATTGTTAATGTTAGGAGTACTCCACCCTTAAGAGGATATGTAAAGTCTGAACCCAAGAACTGTGGAAGTACTGCATTTTTCCTCAAAGGAATTGCAATTGTCAGTTGGAATCCGTTGCTTGACTTTGCTTCCAAACAGGAAAAAGAGCAAAACATAAATGTTTTCCTCTTTTTACAAAGGTCAATCTATGGCTGGGTTTTTTCATGTGTACTCGATCTCAGGCATTAACAAAGTAAATCACAGGGCTGGAAGCATGGCAAGAGGGAGGTTGAAATCACATCTTTATTTTCTGTTTAAACAGAAATCACTTCAGCAATTTAACCAATGCAAATGATGACATGAAATTTTAGAGAATAAATTATAGCCTGGAAATTTAGTGCTAAGTATCCATTATTTAGTGCTTACAACTCAGAAAATGAAGCAGTTCAGTCACATCTCCCAGCTAAAAATAGCCAGGCAATTCTGAACCGTTGTTTTATGAAAGTACACAAAACACTCTCACGTTTGCCATAAAAAGCATGAAAAGACTGAAAGGAACCAGAGAATTATTCTGTCCTAGACAGGATCCTGCATATAAAAAGGTAAAGGGACCCCTGACCATTAGGTCCAGTCGTGACTGACTCTGGGGTTGCGGCGCTCATCTCGCTTTATTGGCCGAGGAAGCCGGCGTACAGCTTCCGGGTCATGTGGGCAGCATGACTAAGCCGCTTCTGGTAAACCAGAGCAGCGCACGGAAACGCCATTTACCTTCCCGCCAAAGCGGTACCTATTTCTCTACTTGCACTTTGAGGTGCTTTCGAACTGCTAGGTTGGCAGGAGCAGGGACCGAGCAATGGGAGCTCACCCCGTCATGGGGATTCGAACCGCCAACCTTCTGATTGGCAAGTCCTAGGCCACCCACGTGCCGATCCTGTATATATCCATCACCAAATGAGTGCCTGAGTAGTAGTTAGTTCAAGAGACATAGGAGAAGAAACAATATGGATGGAACATCATTTATAAAGTGGCAGCTCTTTATAACACAGATACTTACTAAACACTTGCTTCTTTATTAGAGATATACAGTATCAATTTCTGTTCTGCCCCATGTTTGTAGCATGCAGTGGTGTTTCAGTTCTGCTGCAGTTTAGATTCCAACAAAAATGATGTTATTCATGTCACCATCTGTGGTCGTCCCCAGGCAACAGGTTAGCTGTAGCATTCTGAACTAGTTTCCAAACAGTCTTCAAAGGCAGCCCCACATAAAGCATGTTGCAGTAAACCAATCTATATCTCTACCTTACAGAGATCAGCGTCTCTTCTCTATTCATAATAACTACTTTCAGCTAGTACAGTCAGTTGCCTTCTCAATCATGGCCTCAGTCCAGTGCCCACCTCCAAACCAAACACAAGACAGGAATTTCATCTAAGTAGCATGAGTAATCTCTTTTATTAGGATTAAGATGTATTTAAAGGTGAGTATGTCAAAATTAGTGAGGGAAATTTAAGCATGTGCTGAGGTGATCTAATGAAATGCTTGAGACTTAAAAGTGTCATAGTTGAGACAAGGATGGTAATTCAAACTCTTCTTATTCATTTGACATTTTCTTTGTTCTTTTTAAAATCTAAACATCCTGAGAAATAGAATTGCATAAAAATGCCCTAAAATATGTGGGCTTGTGGTGGAAAAGATGCAGAAATGTTCTGCTTTCAGTACTGATAGCTATTGGCCTGGAATGTGGCTAAACATTAAACCATTTCCATATGGTGCAGAAATATATGGCATATATGCATTGATTTCTGTAATATGTTCCAGAAAACAGAGCACACAGCACATCACAGTGGCAGATTAAAAAGTGGCTGTGGAGTCTCTGATATATTTTGAGACAAACTCTCTTGCTTTTGGATACATTCCAGCCAAGTCACTATTACAAAGGAAATATGAGCCTTGCTACCCCTTCCATACTGATTTTATTATTAAATATTATCCGCATGCAATGTTTTTCCTAGTTAAATCATAGTTACTTCAGGCCCCTATACTCACATGTAGCTAACTTTTGGGAACTTCCAGCATCTATAGCATAGAGTGAACTAGTCTAGTCCCAACAATAGTAAAGTGAGGTACTGACTAGTAATCCCTTACTGTGGGTAAAAAGTCTCTCTCTTTAGGCACTTTGAAAAACTAGCATTTTATGCAGGAATTGGGAAATAGCAATCTCACCACATGAATATCCAATGGATACATATCTAATGAATATTCAAAACCCACTGAGGCTAAACAAATTGTAAGAATCTAAACTTTTCCCTGAAGAGAAAAGTCACCTCCAGGTGACTTTTTTTTCCTCTTTTTAAAAATGATCATAATGAATCATCTCTGAACTTCACCCAATACATCAAATATTTCACTAATAATTAGATTGTGGTGTCCACTCATAACTGGTGCCTTTGATCATCTCAGAAGAGGCATGATTCACTGTCCTTAAGGTTAGGAACATGATGCGCAAGCATGATTCTGCCTCTTTCAAGAAGTCTGCCAAAAAGAAATGCTCTCTCAGGGGGCATAATAAATGTATGCCCCCTTCTGGGAATACACTTTTGTAACTGCATGCACTCTTTGATCTATCACTTCCACTTTTGCACATTCCAACACCTGGTCCAGGCGGGGGTCTGAGCTGGAAATGATAATCAAAGCAGCTGCATCTGATCAGCGCTGAGACTAAACAGCTGGTGGTGGGGCATCCTCACATTTTACTCCTGCCCTGTGTGTACACTTGAGAAAGCAGAATAAATCATTCGGGGGGGGGGGAGCTACTTAGAAGCTATGTATCAAGTTGTTCAAAATATAAAAGGAAAAATAAGTGTCCTACTGAATTTAACATACCTTTCAATCAACATTATATTGATGGTTAATATGATAACAAAGGTGGCCCAGTCTTTTTTCATGACCTTTGTGAAGTAATATGGTACTTTGAACTCAAAGGATTTGAATATTCATTAGATGCTATAACTTACTCTAAGGTTTTTTTCCCCTTCCCACCTCACCATCTTAATTTATCCAAGCATGATTTCAAGCTTCAGGTTGTGTTTTCTTGATATCATGCCCTTTTAAGATTTTTACTGCCTTTCTGGGTTCACTGAGTTTCAATTTCCCCTTACCTAGCTTTCTTAAAATAAACCATTACCCTCTTCTTTCTCCCACCTCTCTTTCCTCACCTCTTTCCCCCCCCCACCTCCCAATGCCTATGAGAGCAGTGTCTCACACCAAATGTAACTGACCTGTAGATAGGACTCTATGAACTGAAAACAGAGATGTATCCAATAAAACAACAACAATGATTCTACTCACCTATAGTGAACTTTTGAGCAGAGAAAAAATCAGTGACAATCAAGGAAACTATTTTATTGCAAAAAAATATTTTACACATTGATACAGGACAAGAAAAAATTAAGTGTACAAGCATTTAGGCACAAGTTTAAAAACATTCTGCATCACAATATATTGAGAAAAACTATCAATAAAGAAGCAATATCCAGTATGCTGGGGTTTCAGGGTATAAGCATGCCAACCATCCTCCAAAGCAGTCATAGACTGCCAATATCAGTAGAATCATAGAATTGTAGAGTGGGGAGGGACCACAAGGGTCATCTAGGTCAGGCCCCTGCAAGGCAGCAATCTTTTGCCCAACATGGGACTCAAACCCATAATCCTGAGATTAAGAGTCTCATACTCTACCAACTGAGCTGTGAGTAGTCAATAAAACCAATGGTTAATTCTGTCTCAGATTCAACAATTCTTTCCACGCCGCACCTGCCGTCAAAATCAGCAAGCATTGGAGTTAACTTATGGGGTCACCTTAACCCCTATGTGCCAACTCAGTTACTTCTGTCTGCAGAACTTGCCCTTCTACAAGCGCCATGCGGTGTCTGTGCTGCATGTCAAGAGTCATACCTTCAGTGTGGCAGCACCTGTGCTTGGGAACTTCCTTCCTATGACCATTAGACAGGCATCATCCTTGCATCCTTCTAGACACCTGCTGAAAATGTTTCTGTTTCTGTTTCAGTGGCCCTAGTCAGAGGCATGACTGGTTACAGGTTTTATTGTGATGCATTGCTTTTAGCTGTTTCTAACAGTTTTGGAAAGATTGAAAAATGTTTTTATTTTACTTCTAATTGTATTTTTATTACAGATGCGTTTGCTGCCCTGGGCTCCTTCAAGAGAAAGGGAGGAATATAAATCTGATAAATAAATAAGGGTAAGAACGAGATATCTGACTTTTATTGGACAGTTAAACCACATATTATGGATTTTATGATGTAGGGGTGAGAGCTTAAAAGCACAATAAACCTGGCACAGGGAAGCTCATCTGTCAGACAAGGGAGTAAACCAGCTTGGTGGCAACTCCTGCAGCGAAGTGTAAAATCCAGGCATGTTCCCGTGTAAACTTCATTCTTCAAGACAAACCAACTGGACAAAGGAGCCCATTCATATATGACACCAGCATGTTAGACTTCTCCATGATGACAGGGTTGCTGCGGCTCTTGGGGATGCGGGGGAAACTGATTCAGCTTTCATTTAAAGGCAAACCTACAAAAGTAGCACTTTCTGTAACAATATGTGAACCGAAACACAGCAATCTGTCAAAATTCACCCTTCTGAATCTGCATGCAGTTCTCCAGCCAAGTAATATGTACAAAATAGCATATACTGGAACAAAGTTTGCATAATATACATAGACAGAAAAATAGCATACAATGATGCATTATATTAGAGAGAATTGCTTTGCAAAAATGTGAACTCCCAATTGTTCTTTTACAAAGAGGGCTAGAAGACAGCACGGATCATGGCTTCCAGGTGGAAAAATCAAAATTAGAAACAGAATTGTTAGAACCCAAAACTAAGAATTTGTCAAGAATGTATAACTTGCTGCTGAAATGGAATACTCAGGATGAAACGGTGAAATCTGCTATGATCAAATGGGCACAAGATGTTGGACATAATATTATGTTTGCTGACTGGGAACAGTTATGGACCACAGGTATGAAGTTTACGGCATGTAATGCCTTAAGAGAGAATATTATGAAAATGATATACAGGTGGTACATGACCCCAGTCAAGCTTGCAAAAATCTATCATTTGCCTGACAACAAATGTTGGAAATGTAAAGAAACGGAAGGTACATTCTTTCACCTTTGGTGGACGTGTCCAAAGATTAAGGCTTTCTGGGAAATGATATATAATGAACTGAAAAAGGTATTTAAATATACCTTCTTGAAGAAACCAGAGGCCTTTCTCCTGGGCATGGTCGGCCAATTGGTGCCAAAGAAGGACAGAACTTTTTTATGTATGCTACAACAGCAGCAAGAATACTCATCGCAAAGTATTGGAAGACACAAGATCTACCCACTCTGGAAGAATGGCAGATGAAGGTGATTGACTACATGGAATTGGCAGAAATGACTGGCAGAATCCGAGACCAGGGAGAAGAGTCGGTGAAAGAAGACTGGAAGAAATTTAAAGACTATTTACAGAAATATTGTAAAATTAACGAATCTTAGAAGGATGTTGGATAGAAACTAAGAGGTTTTTAGCTGTAATGCTTTAAGAGATATGAAAAAAAAAGGTTTACAATTGGGTAAAAGTTTAATGGTAAGGATTTGCTGAACTAACAAACTGAACTGGAATACAAAGGAGGGAGGTATGAGGAGGTCCGGGGAAATAAGTCTAGGGAAGATAGGTTTGGAAAATTAATGTCTTTTTAATTTTTTATTTTGTATGTTTCTTTTTTCTTTTTTACTTTTTTGTTATATTTTATAAAAAAAACTTTACTCTTTTTTGTATTTTGTATTTCTTGTATTTTTTGAAACTTTAATAAATATCATTTTTTAAAAAAAAGAAGAAGAAGACAGCACGGATCAGTTTATCTGTGCTATCAGCAAGCTCCACTTTGTCCAGGCATAGTTTGGTTTCAAATTGCTACTGAAAATGGACATTTTTCCTCGTATCTTATATGGATTGAGTTCTATTGACCTTTATCCTGTCCATTACCATTAGGCCAGAGGCTAACTTGATCCTTCTATTGCATCACTTGGATCAATGAAAATGAGAAGCAGACTTGTGTGTGCATGTGTGTGTGTGTGTGTGTGTGTGTGTGTGTGTGTGTTCAGTCAGATTCACAGGGGTTTTTTTGTCACATGTATTCAAGCTGTCCAGAAAACAAGGGAGCTGAGTGGTCTCTGCCCAGTGGGAGAGGGCACTTTGGAAGTGAGCAGGTCAACAGCATGAGTCACCTCCATATTTCACAAAGTGAATAGGATGAAAGCAGGAGCACCAGTGAGAGCAACCAGAAATTCCCCAAGCATTTTCATGAATCCCTCTGATTTCATTGGCAGGGAACCATTCTTATAGGTTTCCTCATCCTTAGAAAGAGAAGTGGTCACTTCCAGTCTAAGCATCAACAGGAAGTGGTTCAACTGCGAGAAGGGACTCAAAGAAAATCAAAATGCAACTGCATTCTTTGGTCCAGCCCAGAAACAAAAAGTGTGAGCTGTTTCAGGCCCCAGAGACAGGCATGGGACCTCTTCTTGTGAATGTCCTTATCATGTGCCTCTGTGTCTTTTAACCACATGCCCAATCACCATGATTTACAGCTGGGACACACAATATACCCACTTGCCACATGTATTATTTGACATGAGTTTCTAAAACACATCTTATGGAGAAAAAGAGTTGTGTTTATTGAGAAACCGACACTTGATATTTATTATAGAAGTCTGTAGTGTAGATAAAAGATATACTTCTCATAGGGCTCACTAAGTCAGCAAATAAAAATAAGGTACAGAGCCTAGTATATAGCTTACTATATAATTATTTGGCTGCTGAGCAATTCATGCAGTTCAATCCTAAATATATTTAGTTGAAAGTAACTCCTGCTGAACTAAACACAGTGGAACTTACTTCCAAATAAACATGCATAGAATTGCACCATTAGTGCCACAGTTATACCATTATTAAATACTGGCATCCCAATCCTCTCCAAGACTTATAGTTATTCTATAACTATATATATTCATTCAGCCATCTAGCTTCTAAATTAAACATATTGTGCTCTTTTATATTGTCTTCATAAAATCAGTTTGTTAACAGTTGAGGATATATGGAGTGTTAGGAGAGGGGTAGTATCTCTGGTGAAGGCACATCATGTTCCTTTTGGGGGATTTTGTTCATCTTTGGTCCCCATCCTGCACTCAGATCTCACCTGTGGCTCCTTGAAGCTGTCAGCATGCAACAGCGGCCACACCCCGGGAATAGCTTTGACTGGCCAGCTAAACCAGGCTAGGGTAGCCTATGGGTCTCAAACCCTTAGTTTGGGACTTCCCCCTGCATGCAAAATCTGGCATATTGAGTGGAAAAGACCAATAATGGGTCCAACATTCAAGAAGGTAGTTTCTGCACATGCTGTAGAGGGAAGTGAGGGGCAGATGGGGCTCGTCAACCTGGAAGAGGAAAACTCTGACCCTAAACCTCCTCTGCCTTGTGGAATATCTTCAGGAGAAGAAAAGGCTAAGGAGTAAACCCTACACAAATCCACAATGGAGTCCTAAGAGGGCTAGATTGAACCTTGTACATCTCATTCCAGCAACTCCTACAGCCAAGCTGGTGCCAAACATACCACTCTGCTTTCCTTTGGACCAAACCAGTGAGGCCAAGAGGGGGGTCTTGTTGTCTGGGCAGCCCAGGACCTCCATACACATTGCCCAGGCTTGAACCGCAGGGAGGTCACTTAAGTGCTGCTAACGCAGTGGTTTGACTTCACACCTGGAGGCACACTCCATTGTAGCTTGAGATACACAGATGCCAAAAAAATTCCATTAGCCAATACAATTGCAATTGCTTTAGATCTGACTCTGAGAGACACAGCCTGGAAGGGCTATACAGTGGTACCTCTGGTTACATACGCTTCAGGTTACATACGCTTCAGGTTACACACTCCACTAAGCCAGAAATAGTGCTTCAGGTTAAGAACTTTGCTTCAGGATGAGAACAGAAATCGGGATCCGGCGGTGCGGCGGCAGCGGGAAGCCCCATTAGCTAAAGTGGTGCTTCAGGTGAAGAACAGTTTCAGGTTAAGTACGGACCTCCGGAACGAATTAAGTACTTAACCCGAGGTACCACTGTATATACCAGGTCCCTTCTTAGATGTTTTTATGATCTAAGTAGTATCATTGTTAATCCTTATGCACATTGCCTTATAAATATACAGTAAATGGAATCACTGAAAGGCCAACAGTGTAATCTTATACACATCTATTCAAAAGTAAGTCTTACTCCCAGGGGCACAGGTAAATGGGTACAGGGTTGCAGCCTATGTGGCAGTTTTAAAAATCCAGCTAATGCATTACAAGAAGTGACCATTTCTTCTAGATCGCTTGCATCAGTGCAAAGGTGGAGACAATCGGCGTCACCTACAACTTCAGTTAATTGAAACAGTGAAGAAAACTCCTCAATGCTTCATCAGATCAAGAGTCTGTTTTGCCATTTGTATTATATAGTCTAAAAATAAAATATAAAGATATTTATATTGATTTGTTTCCATAGCAATGAGAAAGCTACCACCACCACCCCCTTAAGTTTCCAAGGTAATGGACAGGCTGGCAAATCAGAAAGAGCTCTGGAGATGTCTCTCCCAAGTTAGAAGTATTTGCTGCTAGGCAAAGAGTAGCCTACTATTTATACCAGGAAGGATG